AAGGGCAGATCAAGCGTCGATGTCTTCGCTCTTTACAATAGTTGGTTGGACCTCCCAGTCGAGCAACGCGGATGCATTTTTCTGGGCCGAGGTGGGTGAGCCGCTGTAGCAGCAGAGGGAGTAGGTCGCGGCCAACGTCGATCACTTTCTCACGCCTCTCCCTGGAAACAGGCAGCCGGGATATCTGCGACAACTACTGCTGCGGGGGCGAGGCGAACGCGCGCCACATGGACATAATGAGAGGTCAGACCGCAGCTACAAGTGGAGCGCATGCGAGGCGCTAAGTTCCACCCCTCATCGAAGTCCGATCACTGACTGCCCGAACCTTTTCTCCCGTCAGCTGGAGCACTCGGCCCACCTTGTGCGTCACAGCTAGCATACGCTGAATCGAACGCCCAAAAGCTTGTTTTACTTGTCGGCAATCACGTGCCATAGGGAACACGCCGGTGCATATCGCTGCCGTTACGAGTCGCAGAGTCCACCTGAACAGACTTGCAATGGCGCACATCGCCCCCAGTGCGCTGGGCTGCCATCGTCATCGTCGCCGTCATCTTCCGGGGCTGACCCACAATCGAGACTTGCCCGTTGTCGACGCCGCGCAGCCTGGAGGTTGTCTGACCATCACAGCTTCACAGGTTGTCCGCCCCCTCACCCACTCCTCCTCGTCCGCCCCGTTCTGCGATTTCCCTTCCTCATGGCCCTCGCGCGTGCACGAGCGCATCCTTAGCCACATTGTTCACATGTCACGTCGCCGTTTGCGCCCGCAGCCGGCTTGGGCCATGTGCGCGCGCAGTGGACAAGAGCCAGCGATGTTCATTTCCCGTCCTAGTGTTTTCTCAGTTGGCAGCGGGGCCGCGGCCCCCCCCCACCCAGTAGCTGCGCGCTTCGCGCTGCACCAGATCAGGCCGCCACGATTCCCAGATCCTTCACGGATCTGGCAGATGAATACTTGCGCAGACATTACAGGAGAGACCCGGCTGATGTGGCAGGCGAACGCGAGCGCCGAGACGAAGACGGTCGGTGGCGTCGTCGTTGTGAATATCCGCGCGCAGGCTCGCTTGTCACGCGAGGAGCTGAGCTAGAGGACGACGCCCCTTGTTCGGAGAGGATAGAGTGCCGATAATATTACGTGCCCCGGACAATGCGCTTGAGTAGCTTCAGGAAGAAGAAGTCCCTGGGGCGCTCGAGAAGGCTCTCTACAGGAACCCGAGAAAGGAGACGTTCACCACATTTGTGAACAGAAGGAGGCCCGAGTTCACGGCGCTCGAACGGCTCGGAGGTGCACTGCCAGACACGTTCAAGGGACATCCGGACTTACGGCTCGCCAGGCTCGAGCGGTCATGCGACAAGGTGGCTGGCTAGACCGATGGAGTTTGCGGCCTCGACGAGATCGCCGCGGCGCTCGTTCGGCTCGACAGCCCCGATCGACGCGCTGGACTACCACGACCAGCGTCAGGCCTCGCCGCGCTCACGCTCCACGGCGGAGATGGCATCGAGGGCGACAGCATGGCACCACCGCCGCCGCCGCCGATCGACCATTGCGCGACTGACACCTCAGACGCACTAGGCTCGTTCGCGATAGAGATGATCGGATATGAGGACGATTGCTGCGACGATGGCGAGGGCATCTACTACCTCGGCTCGAAAAAACTCCGACGGCGTGATCGAGGGAGAAGATTTGCCTTGGGCGATGCTGGACACGCGCCTGGCCATGAGCTACTCCGTCGAGCACGACAAGGTTCGGGACCAGCTGGACGACGCCCGCAAGGCTCGCGGCTTCTTCAAGCCTAAGGGCTCCAGCAAGCGCGGCAACTTCGACAAGGATAAGGACATGTGCATGGGCAAGGGCGAGTCCGGCCAGGGGCTTCGGATTTGGACCGACGAGTGGAAGCTCCCGAAGAGGCGCGCGAAGTGCAAGCAGGTTGGTCATTGGGCTCGTGAGCGCCATCCGAACAGATCGACTTAAAGACCGGCCCTTGGTTCGCTGATCCTGCAAACGAGCGCTGGCAATAACAACAGCAGGTTCAGATCGAGGGACCTACGACATCATCATCAGTCGCCGAGGGCGCCATCAGCGTCTTCATTGGCATGGTCGCCGCGTTCATCGGCCTCGCCATCAACGCGTGGGAGGTCGTGATGGACAGGCGCACAGGACGGCATCATCGGCACGCAGCAGCTGCCGGCCCTCGCGCAGAAGCTGAAGGAGCTCGGACTACAACCACGATGGGTACTGGACGAGGGGCCACCTCCACGCGGCATCGGAGGCGACGCGAAGCTGATCGGCCGTGCGGAGGCCCTGGCGGGCATCGCAGGGGTCAATAGCATCGTGTCTTTTCGTGTTCTCGACGAGCTTGTACCTGCGCTGCTCCCAGTTGGCCTCTTCAGGGCGATGGAAATTGACATGAAGCTGCGCGACTCGGGCGACATGGCGTTTTTCCACAAGTTTGGCGCTGGCACAAGCCGACGCACGATCGGTGTCGACGGACACATCGCTTTTAGTATTATCGAGCTCGCACCCAGAGGATGGCGCCCAGAGGATGACGCACCTTGCTTGCCGTGGCCGATGCCCCGCCACAGATGCCACTGGCATCGCCACCTCTCAGACAACAAGTCCAGCATCGCCGATTCAGAAGCCCGCACCGCCACCGATCGAAAACACAACATCGAGCTCATCATCGCTATCGCCCCAGACAGCGAGCACAGCATCGCCGATAGCAAGTACAGCATCGCAGATGGTTGCATCACAGATAAGGCCGACGGCGTTTACGCGGGGTCGACGGCTGGCGAACTCCAAGCGCAAGGGCGCGAAGCTGCAGGGCATGCTGGAGGAGCGCGACCACCCAGAGAACAGGTTGCTGCCGGAGGGGAACCGCAAGGGCTACTACGATGTGCGCGCGCGAAGTGCGATGCGCGATGCAAGCGAGCGCCGATATCTGGCGGCAGCTCCAAGGCGATTGCCAGGCTCACAGCCTCTTCGTCAGCAACGAGACCGCAAGTACCGGCGCGCCCAGCGAACGAATCGCCGATGGAAAAGGCATACGGCATGCACGAGAAGAAGCGCGCGTACCTCCGCAAGGTGAACGCTTGCGAAGAGACCAAGGAGGTCACGCCGGAAGGCTTCGACAAGACCAATGCGATCTCGATTTCGCCCAGCGGCGAGGAGATGCAGTTGGAATAACCATATACTCCGGTCGGTCGGGCGACTAGTGGAGCACTGGCGTCGCGGTCGCTATCAGACCGGTCGACGCGAGGAAGGTGCATCACGGCGACCTGTTCGGCGACGAGATCGGCGGCTACCACGTGGACAGGTTCGCGGATCGGGCCGACTACATCACAGAGAGTTGCGACAATAATTCGACTGACCGCGTGGGCGTCTTAAAGGTCCAGACCGGCGCCATCACCAGCGCGCTCTTCGACGACGAGGAGCAGAGAGTCATCTCGGAAAGCTCGCGGCGAGATCTACCATGTAAACTTAAAGAGCCGACGTTACCGAGGTTCACAGCAGGCCGCCAGCGACACAGCGCTGCGCGGCATTGGCTGCAACCTGGAAGCGCACTACATGTGGTCACGCGCTTCAATCTCACCGAGGAAACCGACGGCATCCAGGCCAGCGAGCCCATCAAGGAGGAGCTGACTGCTCCTGAGTCCGCCGCGCAAGGTCTGAAGCCGCATCCAGCGCCCGTCCAACTACAAGAGGAACCAGGACACCGAGAATAGCGAGGAGCGGGCGGGCTTCGAGAATTTGGAGTTCTGCGCCACTCTCGCCCGAGGGCAACGCGAGGGTGGAGGCCTTCTCCTGTTCAAGCAGCCCGCGCGCGCCCGATCATGGGAGCAACCTTGCGTGCAGGCGCTCGCGGACACCAGTGGCGTTGGATGGGTCACGTCGTTGGTTGCGATACATTCACCGTCAAAACGGCTCTTCGTTTGGAGATTACGCTTGTGCATTTCATGCGACGTAGTACGAGTTATCAGATAGCGCAGCGCACCAACGGAAGCATGACGGCCCGGGCGACTTGGGGGGCAGTCCAAGGGACGCGGCATCGTCATCAAAGGTTGCCACATTCTTGTGGTTGACCAAGGTATCGAGTTCAACGCCGAGTTTCAGGATCGAGCATGGGAATGCGCCAAGCTGACGCACGACATCTATGTGTGAATGCCGTGAGAGAACGGCAAGACGGAGAGGCACTGCGGCTGGTGGAGTTTGCGCTCCAGACGGCTGGGGCCATCGAGTCGTGCCATTCGACAGCCGAGGTGGACATGCTAGCCGACTGCTTCACACAGGCCAGCAACTGCCTCACCACTTGGAGTGGATACAGCCCAGCACCGCAAGTGTTCGGCGAAAGCATCCATCTGCAAGGTTGTCTACTCAGCGACGACATCACCAGCCCGGAGCTGCTCGGCACCACCCCGTCGGCCCAGTACCAGCGAGCCCAGGCCGCGCGGCAGGCGGCCATGCCAGCGGCGCTGACCCCCGCAATCAGCAGACGCTGCAGAAGGCGCTGAAGAGCTACATAAGGAAGCAGCAGGAGACGCTGAAGGACGGGGAGGTGGTCTTCATTCATCTGGAGGAGAGTGTCGGTTCGACAACCCTACGGGAGCATCGACTGCGAGGCGGGACGGGGTGGGCCATCTACGGTGGTTCCAACAGCTCATAATTCGCAGCACGGCGTTCGCGCACATGCGGGGCGCCGTCATCAAGTGCGCCAGGACCCAGGCCCAGGCGGTCACCAACGAGGGGGGCATGGGAGCGGGGATCGCGAACGAGACGCTAGTCGAGAAGAAGCTCAACACGGATCACCTGCAACGAGGTTTCCGAGATAACAGTGGTGAAGGTGAGCCGTGAGAGACCGACGAGGTTGTTGACGCTGATCCACCACGCCAAGTACCAGCTGAAGGACTAGATAAAGATCTTTCGCGACAGACCAGTGATCTGACAGAAAGTGGACCCTTGGCTCCACCGTCCTCGGACGGGAACTCGAGACGAGGAACAGCGAAGGCCGATGAGGAAACATCAGGAGCACCGCCAAGGAGCAGACCAAGGTTCGAAGATCTGGAAGCGGATCGACAGCGTAAATCATCGAGCAGTTCGGAAAGGACAGCAGCCGGCGCCAGGGCTCCGTGGCCAGCGCCCATGGGATCGGATCCATCGAGCCGGGTACGTTTTGGCAGCAGCCGGACAACAACGAGTGCAAAGTAGAGATTTGCCACCTCGTTCGGGGCACCGATGCGAATATCATGGACGCGGAGAAGAGTGACTACATCGCTATGGACGAGGTTCGGCACGATCGTCGTCTTGACAGGGACACATGGAGGCCAGTTACTGGTTTCGACAACGACAAGCACGAGGCGCTCAGTATCGAGGACTCGCGGGCGTGCCTCAGCCATCGCGTCAACTTCTGCATGATGAAGCCGACGTCTGAGACGGTGGAGTTCAAGCACAGCGCCATCAGCGAGGACAAGTGGCCGCAGCTGATCGCAGCGATTGTCCACGACTGGAACGCAGTCGCTGGAATCAAGGCTGTCCGCTCGCACCAGGAAGGAGAAGGGCTAGCGAATCATCGCGAGCCGCATCTTGCTACTGGAAGCCGACGGAGCAGGGCATCACGGCCAAGGCAAGGCGGGCCGCTCACGGTTTCAATTACCCCGACATCATGGAGGCCGAGAGGAGATGCCCTACTCCTCAACTGGCCACCATCCACATTGCCACGCAGGCCATGGCCGACCGAGGATTCGAGGCAAATGCCGACGACGTCGCCGCGGCCCCCACGCAGGGCGATCCGATCAGGAGGACCGCGTCTTTGCACGCAGAGCCACCAGCTGGTGGCCACCTCGAAGCTCTCGGCGCCACGGCTGGAAGTCTCCGATTGGATCGAGAAGGTTATCATTTGATCAGCGGCAGGGCAGCGCGGAGGAGCGCAATGTTTTATCAACCTACTAAGATGAACTACCGCATCAGCATCTACGACCCGCGCTTCTCCTGCCTGTTCCACGACGCCCAGCGCCAGGACAAAGGGGAACTCATCGCGCAGGGCATCGCGATCTTGGAGATGGACAACGCACTGCCCGATGGCACAAGGAAGCGCGCGGACAAAATGCATCAGGCGGGGGGGCGTGAACAGGTTCGGGCGCGGGCGCAAGTTTGCACCGAGATGGGCCGCATTCCTTTGCCGGCCGTCGCTTCAGCCAGGAGAGGGGCGACGGTTCCCGCGTCGGCACGGAGCGTTACATGCGCGAGAAGTTGAACCGCATCGAGCTCAAGCACGGCTTGCTCTGAGGCCGCGAGGCGCGCCCCACCGAGGGAGATAAGAGTCAATTTCGAGCTGGCAACGGCAGCGTCGGACGGGTCGCTCGGCAAGCGGGGCCTGACGAGGCCCCAACGGCATCGCTGTTAAAAAGTGAATGGCGCGACTCAACCGTGAAGGGCGCAGCCGACGCCAATGCAGCAGTTCGACGGTTCGAAGTTGACCCAGTTCTCGGGCTTCGCACAGTATTAATAATACCTGAAGGCGCGAGGGTCACAGTCGTGAGCGACGGAAGCTTTGACACGGACAAGAGCACCAGGGTTTCTCAAGGTGGTTTCCTAGCGGCCAGCACCACGAAGGAGTTGAACAACAACGAGGAGGCACCTTGCAGGTTCATAAGTTGGGTTAGTCGCAAGATCAAGCGGGTTGTTGGAAGTATAATGGCGGCGGGGAGTTCCAGTTTCAGTGGCGGTTTGGAATCAGCAGACAGGGCGTGATCATTGTGACAAGCGACAATGTGGAGCGATTTCGAACAGGACGAGACGCCGTACGTTTATTCCAGAGCGAGACGATCCTACAGCTGCAGTTCCGAGAAGCGACCGTACCATTTGGATCGATCCGAGCATCGGCGGTGGATGCGAAGTCCTTGTCTGCCAGCCTGGCGAATGAGACGACAGGTGGCAACGGGTAGATTGCACGGAAGCTTTGCGTGGGCAGGCAGTCTATGCGCGCTATCGGGTGAAGGGTCAGATGGGCCCATCATCACTGCATGCCGGCAGATGCGTTCACCAAGCGTGCTCCAAAGACCGTGGTTCTCACCAAATTAATACGGTCAGGGCGCGATCGTAGTTCCGACGAGCAGCGTGACTTGTACAAGCGCATGGCCAGGCTCATTTTTTGGTTAGCCACAAAAGGGAGCAGCTTGATCGGCAGTCAGTCCGTTGCGCGGTCACTTTATCGAGACACATCTGGTGATCGCCGAAGTGCAATACATATAAGTTGTTGTTTCTCTCTTTTGTTCTCTCTCTCTCTCTCTCTCGCACGCTGGCGAGGTCTGAACCTGCGACATTGTGGCCAAAATACGTTTTTGCGTGCTGCGAGCTCCCTCTTCCCAGCCCTCATGCGTGCACGACTGTATAGTTGGCCACATCGTTCGTATGCCATGTGATTGTTTGTGTCTGCAGCTGGCTTGGGTCATATGCGCGCGCAATGGAAAAGAGCCTGCGAGTCTGAGCTTCCATGCTATTGTTTTCTCATATGAATATTTCCAAATCGCCATCCTACGTCAAGGTTTGCCCGCCGCCTCATCATCTTCATCTCCACCACCACCATCATCAGCATCAGGATAATCAGCATGAACAATAAACAGCATCGCTGTCGCATCGTCATCACCATCGTCAGCATCAGCACCATCACCACCACATCACCATGACCATCGTGATCGTCAACATCATCGGCAACATGTTTTTGATCATCGGTCTCCGCAGCCGTTTCGGCTCAAGTTGGAACCGGGGGGGCCCGCATCGCCGTTCGCCAGCGTTGCCGCCGCCCCGCCTGCGCGGCCGATGCCCGCCAAGCGAAAGAGGCAGCAGAAGGAGCTGGACGAGGGCGCCGTTGGCCAGCGGCGACCCGCGAGCGGGACCAAGGCCCTAGAGCAGCGGATCGCGTCCCAGGCAGCGGCCGCCGCGCGGCTGGGCGCCCAGGCCGCCAGCCTGGAGGCGCAGCTGGCCACGGCGAAGGGCAAGGCGCGGGCCGCCCAAGAGGCCGAAGCGAAGAGCAGGGCCGCGCTGGAGACGCTTCTGGCGCAGCGGCCGCCGCAACCGCGGCGCCGCCTCGGCGCGGCGGCCGCAAAGCGCCCCGCGGCGGCGGAGGGCGCCGAAGCCGAGCGCCCCGCCGCACAGGCGGCAACAGGCGCGGCCGCGGACGGCGCCGCGGAGGTGGGCCTCCAGGCGGCCCCGGCTGCCACGGCGCAGCGCGTCGGGAGGATGAGGCGGCCAGCCGCGGCCGCGGAGGACGCCGCGGGCAACCAGGCGGACCTGGACGCCAGGTCGCGCCGCTTCACGCCGGAGCTGCTGCTGCCGGGCGCGTGCATGGCGCGGACCTGGGCCAGTGGCCGCGGCGGGCAGTGCAGACACCAGCCTGTGGAGGGAGGCGCCGGGCTCTGCCAGGCGCACTCGGTCCAGGCGGTGCGGTCCGCAGGGGGGCTCCCGCACGGCCGCGTCGACGGCCCGGTGCCCCTGAAGAAGCTGCTGGAGTTCGAGAAGTTCTCGGCCGGAGGCGGGGCAGCGGCAGCGGCTCCGCAGGCGGGCGCTGCGCCGGTGGCGGCCGGCGGCGGCCAGCAGGGCTCTGTGGCAGCGGGCCCGCGGCCGGCGGAGCACGCGCCGGAGCCGCGCGAGGCCGTCGGCGAGTCGAGGGAGGCCTCGGTGGTGGCGGCGCAGGCGGTCGCCCAGGCCCTCCGGGAGCTGCGCGAGCCGCTCCCCGGCGGGTGCTGAGCGGCGGGCGCTGGCGACCAATGAGGCCTCGCCATGCCACGAGTGCCGACGTCGCCAAAGGCCCCGGGCACGGCGTTCAGCCCATGAGCCCGGCCGCTCGTCGACTTCCGCGTGCTGCTCCTTCGGGTTCCTCCGCCTCCCTGCCATTGGCCATGCCAAAGGCTCCATCCTCGACAGTATGACGTCGCGCGGCTCTCAAGCGCACTCTGGGGACCGGATGGATGATACGAATTAGGGGCAGCTCGTGATCATCAGGGTCGACCCTCCTCTCTTTCCCTCGCCCTTCTCCCTCTCCCACTGCTCTGACTCCTCTCTCGTGTGTCGTTTGAGGTGGTGCTGTGTAGCCGTGATCATCTTGATACATCGGCGGGATCGGCGCGGGAATATGCAGACCAATTGCGTTCTGTCGGCGTGGTGCATCTCGGCATCTGGCTCCGGAGAACTAGGCAGCGGTTTGGGCCGTCGTGGGCCCCTCCGAAGGCCCTCTTGGACCATCTTGGGCCCCTCCTGGGGTTATCAGGCTGTCTTGGGAAGCTCTGGAGCCACATAAGGGCCGTCGGGGATACTTCACGAGAAGTCCATGGGCCATCACGAGTCGAAAAATAGAGGAGGCAACAAATACAGAAGTGCGCGATGGACATTGACGTTTGCGGCTGTCTTAGAGATCTCATTCGAGCCTCCTGGAGCCTTCTTTGGGACCTATCGTGCGCTTGTTCGGGCATCTTGGTGACTTTCCGAGTAGGACATGTGGGCGGTCTGCGTCGTCCTTGAAGTTTATGGTGAGCTCCGTGAGCGACTTTGAATGTCCACCGAGGCCTCAAACTCCACAGGAATCAATGCGTCTCAAACGCAGGCACATACCAAAAACGCACCTGCGCCATCGCCTGGCAAAGGAGTTCACATCGCCTTTGGCGCGCACGGTGTCAAAGCGGAGGGCCGTCGCGTATCGGAGAGTCGGGCTGGTCTCGCCAAACTTGTGTTTTTCGCAATTGTTCGATGGCCGATGGATACGCGCATCGACCGACTGCTATGCGGAAGGATTGTCGCTGAAGGCAGCGACGCCTCGCGAGGTCAGCTATGAGCGGGGCGAGTCAGGCACCAAGACCTCGTTGGCAGCAGAGAAGCCGGAAAGTTCTCACATCAACAGGTGGCGAAATCGATGGCGAGATGTATGCCTCGCCGCCTCCTCGGCCCGCTGTGTCGAGCTTTCCTCCCCGTTGCTTCTCGACGTGCCTCCGCATCTTCTCCTCCCTCCTCCGCCTTCTCATCCACCTCCACCTCCTCCTCCTCCTCCTCCTCCTCCGCTTGCTCCAGGGGTGGTCTCAAGACACAGGCGGCGCCTGTTCATGCGCCTTCGCTCCCCCCCCAAGAGGCCTCAGGGGGCGATCATGCCGCAGGCCTCGCAGTGATGTCACCAGCGAGCAGCGCATGGGCGCATGGGCGCAGGGCGCTCCAGAGCGGGCCTCGCCCTCGAGGGGGGAGGTCGGCGCGCCTTCTTCGGCGGAGGGCGGCGGCAGACGGGCGGGGGCAGAGGTGGTGCGGGTCCGCCGGCGGAGGCACAGTGGGCTCCCGCTCCCCCTCTCTCCCAAGATGTGGTGCAGGCGGTTACAAGGGGGTCCAGAGGGGGCAGCACGATCGGCATCATGCTTACCACGGTGGGGTCTAAAGCGGACATGGTGCAACATGTAGATATACGGAGTTGTAGACATATATATATATATATATATATATATATATGTATGTGCACATTCTATAGATATACACATATGCACATGTGTCTTTATACATGTATATATATTACATACATGCACACGTGTACTTATCTTAATATGAAAGTGTCAATGCACAAACACATGTACACACGTAACTATCACTGTAGCTAGCTTGGTGTACGAAGTCTAGTCACGTCGCCTGGGTGCGTGGCGATGGCGCAGACTGTGATGTGTATCGATGACTGTGATGCAGATGGCAAGCAAGCTCGCAAGCACACAATGAGTGGGTGCAACCCGCTGGCCCGCATGCATATCGCGCATGTGCAGCCCTGGCAAATTCGGCCCCACAGGGGTAGCGGGCCAGATCAACCCACAGGAGAGGAGCAAGTGTATTCTTTTTGGAGCGAGCAGGGCCGAACGGTCTTGCTTCCCCCTGCGCGCGCGTGGCTGGACGGAGGGCTCGGTCTCTGGGGGCGGTGCGTGGGGGGCGATACGTGGCACCTGAGGGCAATACAGTGAACCGCTTGAATAAGGAACACTTAACGTTCAAAAGGGGCTCGGTCGTTCCTTAGGTTTGTGTGCGTCATTGCTCGTTCCTTATGCGTCATTTATACTTTATCGCTCCTAGTGCGTTTTACTCCTTGGAAAAAGGGGCTTCGTTCCTTATTTATCGTTCCTTAGGTCAGGCCGACGACTGTACACGGGAGCATTTCCTCAAGAACACGAGACCCTCCGTCTGCCAAAAGAAGCAGAACATCCAGGGGTACCCTCCCCCAGGATGCACCAGAACATCCAGCAGACACGAAGAACACTAGGGCACCCTGCCCGAACCGACCTCGATCTGAGACATCGGTCCGGCTGCACCTTGGGGCAATGTTTGGGGACAGTGCCTGATGGCAGTACACAACACTGCAAGGGGTCAACACTTGGGTGCAAAACGTGACCGCCGCGCACTCGCTCTTGTCCGCAAGTGCGGGGTGCCAGGTACCTCGCAAGCCACATGGGCACTGATTCACGAGAATATCCCAGCGTTCTAACCCAACCTATCCCATATCCCGTTTCTCACCCGGCCCTTCCCAAGAAAGTTCACGATGCAGCCGAAGTACGAGGCAGCAATTGATTACGCAACCTAATTTGGCATTCACAATCAAGTCCCGTCGCAATGACACCAGGTCGCCGATAGCATCGACAGCAGTATTGTCATAGACACTCACGATGCAGCCGTGATGTTGGTCGTAGAATGCCAGCACAACGCAGCTGGCCGTTGAACCATCAAAAACATATCGAAATATGAATCCTGACAGGAAGAGGTAATGATTGTTGCTATGTGCGAAGTGGGCAGCGGCTCGGGACCTCATAAGGGATCTCACGGTGTTCCCGCGCCTTCCAGCCTTTATCAAACGAAATTATTCTTAGAAGCGGGTGGGCGTTGGTGGAGACTTCGACAGACCTTCACGATATTCCAGCGAGTGTTATTGGCCTCAGCGAGGTATTGGCCTCAGCGAGTGGCGGGATCTCGCCGACCTTGGCCAGATTCGACGCCCCGGTCGCACAGGCAGCCTTGGAACTCCTTGCGCCGGCCTCGCCGAGGGGCCGCCGACGTCGGGGCAATCCTCTGCAGGAGCGCCTTCGCCCTTCCTCCTCCTCCTCCTCCTCCTCCTCCTCCTCCTCCTCCTCCTCCTCCTCCTCCTCCTCCTCCTCCTCCTCCTCCTCCTACTCGACGTCCTGGGCGGTCGTCTAGTCGGCCCTCCTGTCCCGTGTCCGACCTTCGATGCCCTTGCCGTGCCCACTCTCGGCCACGCGCAGAGGGGGGTAAGTGGGAGGGGGGAAGGCTCCTCAGAAGCTCCCCTGCTTCTTAGAAGGCGCGGACCTTGTCTGCAGATGTGAGGTCCGCGCCTTCTAAGCAGCAGCCTCCTTCTGAGCAGCCTTCCCCCCTCCCTCATATCCCCCTCTGCGCGCCGCCAACACTCCATGCCCCCCCCCCTGCCCTTCCCTCTCCTCCGTGTGGGGTGGCGCCCATGCCCGTGCTCCGGCACGGCCGGCGTGCACGGGCTCGTGCTCTTGCAGCCCTTGCCCGCGGCGAGCTGGCCCTCAGCCCTCGGAACTCACGAGGCGGCGTCTTGTCTCGGAGGTGGATAGACCTCCTACCCTGACACGTCGATTAAGGAATTGGCCGTTTTCGGTTCGCGAGAGGCGTTACGGCCGTCATTGTTGCGGGTCCAGGTCCGTCGGTTTCGGTCCCAGGCCGTTTTCACTGAGGGGAGGTGTACTAAAGGGAGGTTTGTCCACCGCCGGTTGTCTCATCCCTCTCCTGCCCCCTGACGTCCGACGCCGCGAAAAAGCGCAGCATCGCGAAGAGTCACGACCGGAGCCCTGGGCCCCGTCTTTTCCTGCGTCGCTTCTCGAGCCCGATGGGCCTGCGGTGGCGTCCACGGGGCCGACGCCGGGCGACATCGCCAGGTGCGGCAGAGTTGCGGCGCCAGGATCTGCGAGCCCGCCTCCTCCCGCACTGGGTGGGGAGATCGTCATCGCCGCGTGCCCCATGCCCGGCGTCTCCATCTCGCTCGTCAAGTCCACGCTGTCCGTGTTCGGCCTTCCAGGGGGGAGCGGGCGGCGGCGGCGGCCCCGTGTGGAGCGCGGGCGTCCGCGGGAGCCGGCGTCGCGGGCGGGTGACGGCGACGACGACGACAACGACAACGACGACGACGACGACGACGACGACGACGACGACGACGACGACGACGGCCACGACGAGGACGACGACGACGACGACGACGACGACGACGACGACGACGACGACGACGACGACGGCAACGAGAATGGAGGCGAGGAGGGCGAGGACCAGGACGCAGACAAGAAGGGGAGAGGAGGACGCAGAGAAGGACCCGAGCGCAAACGAGGACGAGAAGGACGAGGAGGAGGAGGAGGACGATGACGAGGACGAGAACGAGAAGGAAGACGAGGAGAAGGATGAGGCGGAGGACTGCGACGGGGACGAGAGCGAGGAGAATAATAGGGAAGACGACGAAAGCGACGACGAGGAGGAGGACGAGGACGAGGACGAGGACGAGGACGAAGACGAGGACAAGCAAAAGGAGGACCAGGAGGAGGAGGAGGAGGAGGAGGAGGAGGAGGAGGAGGAGGAGGAGGAGGAGGAGGAGGGGGAGAGTGGCGGAGGCGGAGGGGGAGGGGGAAGAGGAAGGGGAAGGGGAAGGGGAAGGGGAAGGGAAAGGGGAATGGAAGGGGAAGGGAGGGGGGGGGGGGAGCAAAGGAAGGTGGAAGGGTTGGTAGGGTTCGGGGGAAGCAGGACAATGGGCGGAAGGAAGCAGGGCGAGAAGTGGAGGGAGGGGACCTTCCTCTCCCTGTCCGCCCTCTGCTCCACGTCTCCCCGCCCCCCCTCATCCCCAACCCTGCCTCCCCTCCCTGTAAGGCTCTCCAGCACCCGCTAAAATCTCCCAGGGCCCTTGAACCAGAAACTCCTGAGCACCGCTTCCCCCGCCTCTTGACCCCCCTGCTCCCTACTGCACCCTCCTCCCTCTTCATCCTTCTTCCTCCTCCCTCCTCCCCTTCCCTTCTCAGTCCGTCCCCTTCCACCTCCTCCTCCTCCTCTGCCTCATCCTCCTTCTTCTCCATCCCTGTTCCCTGCCCGACCCCGAGCTGGTCGAAATGGCGGGCCGGCCGCTTCGCATGAGACTTCCTTACCATCGATGATTTTGAAGCTTCAGAATTGGCAACAGCTTCAAAGATGGAGTACGGGTCGCTTCAAAAATGTGGTTCTCGCCTTAGCGCCGTGCAAATTCGTTTCAAAAATGATAAAGAGCTTCACAGATTGATGGTGGGTCAATTTAAAAATGTGGTTCTCGTTTTAGCGCCGTGCACAGTCGTTTGAAATTGCGCAAGAGCTTCACGGATGGAGGGCGCTTCCTTATTCTAAATGTGGGTATCGCCTCAGCGCCGCGCACATTAGTTTTTCAAAAATACACGGGCTTCATTGGTGGAGGGCGGTTCCTTTTCATAATCCAGCTCTCGTCTTAGCGCCGCATGCATTCGTTTCAACAATTGCAAGAGTTGCACGGCTCTCATGGTCAACGTGCTAGTGTTCTGGAACGATGCAGGATTGCCAGGGCGAAACAGTTACGTTGTTTCGCGGGGTTGAAGTCCCAGGAATGGTGTGGTGTTTTGGCACGAATCAGGATCGTCAAGACGCAACAGGGAAGGTTGATTCGTGGCGATGACGTCCAAGAACGGTGCTCTGGGACGGTTTAGGATGTTCCAACGATTGTCCCTTAATGGGGATTTTCTGTTTGTAGAAAGGAATCTTTCTAGGGGCCTATGCAGAGGGAGCCTGGAGGGAGGGTGTATTGATTTACACTGTTCCTCTTCCTCCTCCTCCTCCTCCTCCTCCTCCTCCTCCTCCTCCTCCTCCTCCTCCTCCTCTTCCTCCGCCTCCTGAGGCCCAATGTTAAGGCTTCCCCCCCTCCTGTGCTCGCTGCCACCCATCATGGGCTATCGTTCTGCAAGCGCACGGGGGAGCAAAGGTGCGCGCGGCGCAACCGCCTCGCACGCACAGCCTTGTCGCTCAGGTCATTGCGTGCATCTGTCATCAACCCAACTTCTGAGCGGCAAGTACCTGTGGCCATATTATTTGAGATAACTTCTGAGCAGCACCTGCCTGTCGTAGTTGCGCCAGCTGCCAAGAGTGTTATGCGTGATGCCGGTATGCAGCCTCCAGAGTTGCCCACTGCTCTGTCCAGGACGGGGAGGGCGGTTGAGCGGGAGGTGGGGAGGTATCGCGAGCTTGGCCACGAAGTGGAACGCCACGGCAGGGTGACCGCATGCCTTGAGTGTGGTGTTTTCGTGGCCGATCGGAGGAGGAACCCCAACCTCTATCATACATGCGGAGGCCGCTCCGAGGTCGGTTTGACTCGGAGCAACGAGAAGGCCCAGGTCTCCAGGGCCCTGCGCACTTTGTACCCAAGGACCAGGGCCGTTCTGCCTGCACTGCCGTGCGATTCTGGACTTCGCCCCCCCCCCAGGGACAGCCACCCGGACTGTTGGGGGAACTGGGGGGGCTGCTGGCAGGCACCGGGGGCCTCCTTCGGTGGAGGCGGCGGAGCCTGGCGCTCGGCCGTACCATGGAGACCCATGCCAAGAAGCACCCTGCGTGCCTCCAGGGTGCACTGGCTTCCTTGGGTGCCGATGGTTCTGCGATGGAAGACGCGACGCTCCCACACCAAAACATCAATGGACGTCCTGGGGTCTCAGGGTTTCTGGTGGACCGGCCTGCCCTTGCACAGCGTGGCCAGAGCCTGCCCGCGTGGAGGAGGACGTCCAGCCCCGCTGTGCGTGCCGCCCGCGCTGCCCGTCGTCGCCGCCGCGTGCGGCCGCGCACCGCGCGCCGCCCCGCAGTGTGGCCGGAGCCTGCCCGTGTGGAGGAGGACGTCCAGCCCCGCCCAGGGCTCTGACGGCTGCGATGCGAGCTGCTTCTCCCTCGGCCCCGCGGCGCCCCCGCGCGCTGCCCGCCGCCGCCGCCGCGCGCGGCCGCGCCCCGCGCGCCGCCCCGCGCGCCGCGGGCTCCTGCCGCCGTCGCAGCAGCTCGTGCAGCTCGTCTGCCCTGCGCGGGCCTGGGCCTGCGTCGCTGCGCCCCCGTCCCCCCCTTTTAGGGTGATGCCCGTGGCCCGGGCGCCCCTGTCTGCTGCCCCGCAGCCTCCTCCTCCTCCTCCTCCTCCTTCTCCGGCTCCTCCTGCACGCCCCGTGATTGTGCCCCTCCTCTTCCCCGACCTCCCGGACCCGCAGTCTCCCCTATACTCCTCGTCTTGATCCTCCTCCTCCTCCTCCTCCTCCTCCTCCTCCTCCTCCTTCTTAACTCCCTTATCTCCGATCTCCCTCCTCCCTCCCTTCTCCATCCTCCGTCCCGCCTACCCCTCCTTTTCTCATGCGAGTCATCCATCTCCTCCCCCCTCCTCCCGTTTCCCCCCTCTCCTTGTACCATCAGACGTGTCGTTTGAGCAGGCTCTCGCCCCAGACTTCACAGGGAGTGGAGGGCGGTTCCTCTTCAAAACGAGACTAGCGCATGAAATGGTCGATGGATCCCTCTGCCGAAATCAACGCGCAACACCGACACGGATGGAAAGTTGACGCTGTTAAAAGTGGAGATCGCACGTCAATTCCGTTCAGAACCCATGATCCATGATTGCAGAGACGTAATTTCTTGGATGGAGACCGGCATGTTTTCAAAATGATGCTCTCGCACAAAATACACATGAATTGTAGAGCCCCATGTTCTGATTTCTCTGGCAACTAAAATGGTGGATGGCGGTCCAAAGCGGGGCTCTCGCTTGAATGGCAAGAGCATGGCATGCGGCGCTCGTACTGTAAGCTAACTTCCCAGCTGTGCAGATGAATACTTCGTGGAACTCATGAGGAGACTTGGGGCGGGAGGTGTGCGACAGCACTGTTGATGCATCCTGGGTTTCCTGTGGTCCCTCCTCATACTTCTTGTTTCCGTTATCCCCCTCCTCTCCTCATGATCATCTTTCTGCTTCAGTTTCTGCATGTTGGCAGTGGTACGGGCACTCGTGGCTGCAAATATAACCTAGCTTCAGAGCATGAGCAGTATGAGTAGGAAGTGGAGGATGATCAGAAAAAGGACGACGAGAATCATGAGGATGAGGAGTAGGAGGGTGGAGGTTGGAGGAGGAGGAGGAGGAGTTCGATGCTGCTAAAGTATGAGAAGGGGCGCGGAGCGTGAGAAGTCAGCTCCTAGGAAGAGGAGGAGGGAGGACGGAGGAGAAGGCCACGAGGAGGAGGAGAAGGAGCAGCACAAGGAGGGGGATGGATGGCAACATCCTTGATTAGATTATCATCGTCAGCGTCAGAAGGAGGATCAGGAGGAAAACCACGAAGTGAAGAGCAGAACCTGGAGGAGGAGGACGACGACGACGGCAACGCGCCGCCTGGCACGACCTGGACTGGGGCAGGCAGCGTGATGTTGTGGATCGTCTGTGGAGTTCTGCTCGGCCTGGTGCTGCAGCTCTACCTGGCCATGCCAGGCGGGACCGGGCACCTCCGTGTACTCGCCCTCTTGCCCTCCGTGCTCCTCGCCAGCAGCAAGCTCGTTGTAGTGGAGGGCGAGTTGAGGCGGTGGTAGTTGACCTTCGCGAGGCCCCCTCGTCACCACGGTTGGACGCAGCTCGAAAAATCGGCTAGCTTGGACCCCAGGAGGGGTCCGGGGCCGCTTTTGAGCTGCCGTTGTCTCAGCTCGCCCTGCTCCGGTTGTGGGCACAATGGGACGGCTGCGTGCACCGTGCAAGGACAAGTCTGGCTCCCGAGGCTGAACGAGAGGCGCTGCATTCTGCCGCGGGCGGCCGCCCTCCTCCTCCTCCTCCTCCTCCTTCCTCCTCCTCCTCCTCCTCCTCCTCCTCCTCCTCCTCCTCCTCCTCCTCCTCCTCCTCCTCCTCCTCCTCCTCCTCCTCCTCCCAGCCCCGCGGGCGGCCGCCCCCATGGGCGAGAACGGCCCTCCCCACCCAATCGTAGTTCTCCTCCCTCTCTTCCTCCCTCTTTCCCCTGCTCCTCGCCCCGCCCGAGAAGCCCCCTTCCCCCTCCCGCCCCCCTCGCGCGCTGCGGAAGGTGTCGACGTCCTGGGCCTGCACGGCAACCTGATCAAGCCTGCCCTCATCGTAGTCACCGGGGGCTTGAGCTTCTACGGAGGGAATGGGAGGGGAATGGCCCAGGCTAATGGCGTAGCGAAAAGGGCACGACGGCTAGTCGTCTTATCTGAAGTCTTCGCTTCGAACTTGGGTGGAGCCCTTTTCGGGCCCAGGGGTCCTTTGGAGACGGCCCGTAACGAACAAACCAATCCCCAGTGCGGGGTCGGAAGTTCTGGGGACGCGCGTCTTGATGAGATCACGACGTCGGGGTTCTGGGGAAGGTGGAGGGCTGAGGGTGGGCGGGGAGGCGCGAGCGCTAAACAGAGGCTTGAACGGAGGAGCTGGGGGGCATTCACTCCATTTCCCCCTCAGCTTTTCCCCTCCTGATTTCCCCTCTTCCTCCTCCCGCCAACCTCCTCCCCTCATTATTGTCCCTCATTGTCACGTCGTCGTCCTATCCCTCCTCATCATCAACATCCTCCTACCCCTCATCCTCCGACTGAGATTCCCCTTTTTCTCCCCCCTCCTGTGTCAGTCCTCCTTCTCCCCCGCTCCACCCCCAATGGTACGCTTGTGCTTGCTCGCAAGAGCACTTTCGAGCTGGGCGGCTCTGGGCTTCTCGGCGCTCGAATGTGATTCTCCATATCATTCCCCCTCCTCTCCCTCTTCCTTCGCCTTTTTCTTCCCTCATCCCTCTACCGACCCACCCACCCACCCCTCCTCATCCTCACCCTCCTCATCCTCACCCTGCTCCTCCTCATCATCATGCCCCTCCTCATCCTCCTTTGCTTTAACGTCAATGTTGTGACATCGTGGACGCTCTATGTGCACCCTTTGTGGCGCAGCATTTGGGGAACAGTATATGTGGCGGGATATATGTGGTGCAAGCTATTTCGCAAAAGCTGTGGAATTCAATGTATGCTGTGCAAGATGTGGGACGTAACCGTCGCGGTACATATGTGCTGCGCAGTCTATGTGGTGGAAGATTGGTACAAGCTATAAGCGCAAACCATGTCGTTGTGCAAACTATGTGGTGCAAGCTATGGGGTGCAGTCAACCACTTGCTCAACGTGAAGCTGTCCTCTCCACTGCTCGCGCAAACATCCCACCCTCCCACCCGCAACTTGGTTTGCAAAACCTATTACGACCGACTACGACGACACCGACGACAACGACGACGACGACGACGACACCGACGACGTCTCCGACGACTTCGACGACGAAAACGACGCCGACGAAGACGACGACGACGACGACGACGACGCCAACGAAGGCGACGACGAGGGAGGAGGAAGGACGACGACGGCGACAACGACGACAACGACGACAACGACGAGGGAGGAGGGAGGACGGCGACGACGCGAACGACGACGAAGGAGGACGGACGGCGACGCCGACGACGACAACAACGAGGGAGGAGGGAAGACGACGACAACGACGACGACGACGGTGACGAAATAGAACCGACGACGAGACGCCGACGACGGACGACGACGACGACGTGGGAGGAGGAGGACGGACGACCACGGCGACAGCGACGACGGAAACGATCACGACGCCAAAGAGGACGACGACGACGAACACGAGAAAAGACAGAGGACGACGTAGGCGACGACGACGACGACGACGACGACGCGGGAGGAGGGAGGACGGCGACGACGACGACGACGACGACGCAAGAGCGCGCGCGCGCACGCTTTTGTTGAAAATCCGTGTTGCGAAACCTCAGGTTTTGTAGGTTTTTTGGACGCACGATTTTGAAATCCTTCCGAAACCGATGGGTTTTGAAGGTTTTCGGCATACGCCCGCGACGACGCGCGCGCCTGCACTTCGTCCCATTTGTTGCAGAGGGTTCTCGCGACGGCACACGCGCAAGGGCGTTCGACAGATTTCGACATGCGCGCG